ATAACCTAATCCAGTGAAAACCTTACTTGTGGTTCATGAAGAAAAAGAAACCTTAAATTCATCTAAAGCAGGGGTGAAATCCAGCAGGTTCTGACAGGTTCTGAAGAACTGGTAGCGGAAATTTTTAGTAGTTTGGAGAACCAGTAGCGGAAATTTTGAGTAGTTCGGAGAACCGACAAATACTACCTCTGGCTGGTCCCAGAGGTGCTATTTGCCAGGAATGGAGATTTGGCAATATCCTTCCCCCAGGAGTGGGGAGGGAATGGGGATTTTGCAGTAGCCTTCCCCTGCCACGCCCACCAAGCCACACCACGCCCACCAAGCCACGCCCACAGAAGTGGTAGTAAAAAAAATTGAATTTCACCACTGAGCTAAAGCCATAGCTGGGTCATACTTTTATTAGGACCAACCAAATAAACATTAAAAAAATGAACATGCTTTTGGGTTTTCCACCATCAGGCTAATATTTCTACTCAGCTATAAATCCAGTCTCAAAGTCAAAACTTTGCTCTGAAGAAGAGCAGATTCATGTTTATGCTTTATTGTATCTTGGTTGATAAAAATTATATTTACAATGTACCCTTACATAGGAGGTTACATTAAAGACGTTTATACTGAATTGTGAATACTATTCATTTTAATGATAATATCTTGCCAACACAGTGTTCCATAGATGTAAAAAAAAAAAAAAAGCCAGGGGATTAAACTAAATATTGTCATGGTAACAGTAAGAAAAAGAAATACTTCTAAAAGGATTTCCCATAAGTGAGAACAGTTCACATTCAGTAAGTAGCCTTCAATAGAAGTTGACATCTGTTATTCATTTGTTATTTCTTGGTTTCAAGAAAAGGCAGAGATAATTGGAAATAGTCAAGTGTTCTGGGAACATACTGAGTGAAAGAGCTGTTAGACTTAGAGCTTCTTAAATTCTGGTCTGTTTATCCCTCCCAAAAAAACCATTGCTAACATACCTTCATTGTCCTTATTTTTCCTGAATGGGCTAGTTGGCTAGTTGTCTTGAGTTACTTATTCTTCAGCAATAGAAAATCAAAGCAGATCTTTTTATTAAGGAAGCAGAAGGAAGAAATCTAGCACAAGTAGCACCTCTCTTTTTGAATTCCCAAAGGCGCATGGAAAAGAGGACAAGAGAATGGAGGTTTATGTTAATTTCTTATGTTTCACAATGTTGACCTCTTCCATTCCTTGAATAGCTAGGCAAAATAACTCCAGCCTGAATTGCCTTTCTCAATCAGAATTTCATAAGACAGGCAGTGGTGAAATCTAAATTTTTTTCCTACTGGTTCTGTGGGCTTGGTAGGGGTCATGTGACTGGGGGGTGGCTATGTAGTCATGTGACTGGGGGGGTCAAAAGACAGAAACTCACTTTAACAATGTCCTCCTGGAGCAGGAAGTTGGACTAGATGACTTTCAGGTCCCTTCCAGCTCTGGATTGCTGTGCTCTTTCAAGGTACCCTCTGAAGCTGCATCTAGTGCAAGGCTTGTGGTCCTTCTTTTCTCTCCTTTTTCCCTCCCTCCCTCCCTCCCTCCCTCCCTCCCTCTCTCTCTTTCTTTCTTTCTTTCTTTCTTCTTTCTTTCTTTCTTTCTCTTTCTTTCTTTCTTTCTTTCTTTCTTTCTTTCTTTCTTTCTTTCTTCTTTCTTTCTTTTGCAGCACCCCCCCCCCACCTCCCATTTTTGGCCTAGCAGGCCTCAGGGAAGCCTCCTGGGAGCAAAAACGGACTCCCCCCCCCAATAGGTAGTAAACAAATGCTTTAAAAAGGAAAAAAAAGTTCCAAGGATTGTGCGCCACAGCTGATTGTCGGAACCTTTTTTTAAAAAAAAAAAAATTAGCATTTTTTTACTACCTATTGCCCGAACGGGTAGTAGAAAAAGGCTTTTAAAAAGTTCTTAAAAAGTTCAGACAATCAGTTGTGCCGCACGATCGTTGGAACTTTTTTTTTTTTTTTTACTTTTTAAAGCTTTTTTTTTACTACCAGTTCTGGTGAACCAATAGAATTTTCACTACCGGTTTGGGAGAACCACCCTGAACTGGTAACATTTCACCCCTGAGGACAAACTCAGGGGTATCAAACTCAATTTCATTGAGGGCCACATCAGGGTTGTGTTTGACCTTGGGTGGGGGGAAGGGCATGGCCAGCTCAACATCACTTGTGTCGGGAGAGCCTGTGGTGGCCCGAGCAGTCTGTCACCAAAAACGGGTTGCTGAGCTCTGTTTCTGGCTGCGACGGCCTCCTACAACCCTCTGCTAGTGAAAATGGAGCTTGGGAAGGCTGCATGCAAGCTCCTTTTCTGGCTGCGACAGCCTCCTGCAACCTTCTGCCAGCGAAAACAGAGCTCACTGTGGGAAAATTCAACAATTCAATTTAAGTATTTAAAATAATTTAAAAAATATTTTAATTTATATCATTCACATTTCATTTTGTCCCTTCTCTTGCATACTTTTAAAATTATTCTATTCCACCATTTCTTTGCTATTAGTGTAACTCTTGTCTTGCGGCAAGTTATCCTGCAGCAAGCTGGCTGCAGCGAGTTGGCTACGCTGAGTTGTCCTAGACCTTATCCTCTTTTATTGTTATACAGCATTTCATTAATGAACATATCAAATTTATTCTTAAATGTTTTCTTTCTTATTTTCATTGAGTTGAAACTAATGACCCCCTTTTCCATAGAAATATTATTTTAAATAGTGGTTGAATAATGTGACCATTCTGTCTGATTCATTATCCCCACTAACCAAAACCACCTATACTCTGATTTGCCTATAAATGGGCTTCTCATTTGAAAGCAAAAGTACCTGTTAGAATTTTAAGGTGTGTGTGTAAGGGAGGTAGAGAGAGAGAGGGAGGGAGGGAGGGAGGGAGAGAGAGAGAGAGGGAGGGAGGGAGGGAGAGAGAGAGAGAGGGAGGGAGGGAGAGAGAGAGAGAGAGGGAGAGAATGCAATTGGAGAAATCTGGGAAATGCCATCAATACTGCAATTCATATTTGATCTATTTTGGGGTTCTCTACAATTGTGAGCATTACAGCCCAAAGCATTTGGAAGATAGTTTTGAGCAGCATTGTATCAGATTGTGATCCATGGGAAGAAAGCCACAGCAAAGATGTACAAATTCTTCATTTTCCTTAGACAAGGGAGGAATGCCTTGTTCACTTGATCTTAGTCAAAAGGCCAAATACAGTTTATAAAATAAAGACAATTAACATCTTGATGCATTATTAAATTGCAGCATGATCTCAGTACTCCAACAGCAAAACAGCCCCTTGTCTGATTAGTTACAATATGTACATAGTATCTAATGAGCTTGTTGAGAGCTTGATTGTGCAAAGGACAATCTTGTGAGGAAGAGGTTTTTTTTTTTTTTGGTTTTTTTTTTAAAGTTGAATAATAGCCACAGTTTTAGTTCAATTAGCATGGCAATCAATTAGTGAAGGCCATCAGTGATGCTACAAAACCTTGCAGCTGAGCATTAATTATTCATTATTGTGTAAGCTTTCTATATATCATATGGAGGATTCAAATGTCAGAGATCAATAAATATAATGCATGCCGGTATAGTCGACTGAAAAGGTATTTTATGTACTGTTGGAATTAATGAGTCCATAGAAGCGATGATTTATTTTCTTTTAAAAGTGGTTAAGGCAAAGGTTAAACTACTGACAATTGCAGCTTCTGGACTTACACCCCAGGCTAGCCCAATGGTATATGCAGGCTTTTCCATGTATATCCTCATGCAAAGCAGGTATAGAGAGTATCCTTCTAAAAATTCAATCAATATGAGATCCGTCCAATCAATAACATCCTCAATTTGGCTGGGCTGCTCATCCCCCCCATCCCCAAACTAAAAAAAATGTTAACCGACAATCATTAGGCCATCCTTTAGTAAATTTATAAAGGGTTGTTTTGTGCATTAATGGGCATGTGCTTTTTTCTTTTTAGTTTTTACTGATCCTGAAAACTTGTACTTGACTATTGTTGTCTTCCTGGCCAAATTATCACCAAGTCTGGTTCTAGCACATTTGGATTGCATCAACATGCACACACAGTATCTTCAAAAATTAAAGGAAAAAGTATATTTTTAATGCCATTTTTAATGGAAGAAAGTTTCCCTTATAAGCAGTGCTTATTGCAGAGTTAGCTACTGTACAATTCTGTAAATGGATCATTGTGTTTTTTTTATTACACAGATGTCTTGCCCAAAAGTATTGTGTTTTTGGTAAATGTTTTTTGGAGTGGCTTGAAACATTAAAGAACATATATAGGATCCAACTTCATTTATATGTGCCAGTGATTGCAATTTGGCATCAGTCTCAAAGCCTAATCAAACCTATTATTCTCCCTTCTCCTCCAACGATGTAAACACTGAGCTTAAAAATGATGGGTTGTTACTGCTTTTGACCCTTTTAAACTATGTTGAAATACTGCAATATAGCCTTAGAATCCCATTACAAAGTTTTAATTTTAGTTTCATGTGATTAAGATGAGCACTTACAGGTTGCAGAAGGGCCTCGCCTGATTTCTGCCTATTCTCCATGCAACAATGCAAGCATAATCATGGGAATGTTTAAAGTTGACCCCTGATATTTGCTCAGGTTTTGTTTCTGTGCACATGGACATCTGTTTATTCAGACGGGATGAAACAACATTAATAATCATAACGGAGTCTTTAGAAGACTTTTCTTCTCAGTGGGCAGCTATCTGATTTTTCACAAAACCCCTGGAGCCATTTTTGAAGCACTGGATAGATCAAAGCGATAGCTTGAAAATGGAATGGTAGAAATGGCTCCAGTTAGCCATCAATGCTACAAAGGGTTCCAAATCTCGCCTCAGAATGCTAGGTCGGGTTGGTGGCTGGGGAATTCTAGGGCATTGAAATCCACAAGTCTTAAAGTTGCCAAGGTTGACTAGCCCTATGCTAGATACTGATCCCATTTTGCAGGTAGAAATAATATTGACTTTGTTTCTATTTCTTTCTTTTCTTTTTAGCTTTGCAATTAGTAATAAACCTTATGGGAATGGAAAAGAAGATTTGCCCAGAAGAAGTCATGATGGGAAGGAAGTGAGGTATTACTTACATCTCTCTCTCTCTCTCTCTCCCACTCTCTTCCTCTCTCCCCCTCTCCCCCCCTCTCTTTGCTTTTATTCTATTTATCTTTCTACTTTCATTTGAAAAATCACCCTTTAGGGCCATGTCAGTGAAAAGCAATTTAGTGATAGGTTGCAAAGAAAAAGTTCTGGTTCGAAGATTGCGTAAGCAGCACCTTCATTGGGGAATCAAACTTTTCCTTTGCAGATGCTTCTTTAACATATTTGAATCAAAGAGGGAATGACAGTTTTGCATTGTCCCAGAATTGTTCATTCTGCTTACAAAATCTGATCTGTTCATAAATTTTCACCTAAAGGTATGGAACTATTAGGAAGGACTCTAATGATTTCTGAATGTTCTCTGACATTGTCTCTGGGCTTCACATAGCCTCAGATTTCCTGCAGCTCCCCAGAGAGAGCATGGATTTTTCTACCATATTAACCCTTATGATACTTTTGGAAATCCTAGCATTAGTGCATCTCTCCATTTCCTTTAATCAAAGAAAGCAAGGCAACAGAAATGATGATGGGTTATGTTCAAATGGAATGGCTGAATGAAAATTAGGAGATGGTGTTTGTTTATTCATTGGTGAAATGTTTATCACCTAATAATGCTTAAAAGACAAGTACTGGTTTTTTTTATAAATTGCTAAAGTCAAGAGAAGACTAACTGAAGACAGAAAGAGACTACTCTCTAGTTGGAAAAGGGCAAGAAAAGGTGATGATCAAGTGAAATTTAGACCCGGAAGGCAGTAATATGAGAACACCGTTGGCATCTTTCCTTTTTTTTTTTTTCCCGTGCTGAAATGGAGCAGACGTTTCTTTGCACTACTGTTCAGAAGAGTGTGCAAAATCATTCAACTCAGTTATCTTTAGTACTACCATTTGAAGACAGGAAGAAATCTTATGATTTTCACTGACCATTGCTTTATCTCAGGATAATTTATTAAGGATATCCCTCAAATGAAGAAAAATTCATTAAATTAATGCCCATCTATGTTTCAAAGGTGCCCATTTTGCCAGTTTGCCCTGATGTCATTTATTTAAATCCAGGATGGATTATTTCTTTTATATCTTTCGACAACATTTCCTACCTCCTATCAAAGCATAAGATCATTATTACCCATAATGAAGTCAATTTTTGCCTCACTACCATGAGGATAAGGTGGCAAATATAGGTAGTCCCCAAATTATGATCATCGAGCCTAAAATAGGCATAAAGCAGGTCACCAAGTAACCAGATCCAATTTCATGACCTTTTTTTTGGCAGTCATTAAGTGAATATGGTTGTTATCAAGAGAATATTGCTATTATTTGCTATGGCGGGATTTTTTTTTTGCCAGAAACCAGAAGTAAGCACTGATTTCTATCAAAAACATTATAAATTGTAGTTATGTGACTCTGAGGTGAGGGACAGATCTCATTCCTTTAAAACCGGTTCATAAGTAGCTTTTTCAGAGTCTGTCATAACTTTGAATAGTTATTAAGTGACCGGTCATAAGTTGAGGACTACCTGTGTTGTCTAATACAACTGTATTTCTTTGATAATTTCCAACTTTTAACCTCTTTCCTTTCTTTTTCTTTTCATTCTTTCTTTAATTGTTATTTTTATGAACTATGTAGAATTGTAATTATGTATGTATATATGCTGATCAAAGACTGTAATACAGTTTACCTACCTACTTACCATCTCTAAACCGTGATTGGACCAGAATATTAAGTATGAGTCTTGAAACAGTGCAATTATATTTTATTGGGTGGCCTAGATCAGTGTGTCCCAACCTCAGCAACTGTAGATGTACATGCCCCAATTTCCACAATCTCCTAGTCAGAATGGGAGTTGAAATCTTACCCATCTTAAAGTTGCTGAGGTTGAGAAACACCACTCTAGACCAAGGGTCAGCAACCTTAAGCACTCAAAGAGCCATAAAGGTCCTAACCGGAAGTCCCCGTTCAGTTCTGGAGCCAACCGGAAGTCCAGTTCTCCCATCATAGTCTCCTCCTAGCGTGGCGTCCTTTTTCCTCTACCTGTTCTAACCGAAAGCCCTATCAATTGTGGAGCTGACCAACAACAGGGAGCCGTAGCAGAGGGATGAAAGAGCCACATGTAGCTCCAGAGCCGCGGGTTGCTGACCCCTGCTGTAGAGACTTCTAGTCTAAACTATTTCCTAGAGACTATGGAATACAGTGTGATGTGTGAATGTTAGCTTGAGTTTGTGTTAAGTGTGAATGTTAGCTTGAGTTTGTGTTAAGAGTGAGAAACGGATGTAGTAAACAACATACAGAAGGAAAGTTTGCGTCCTGTCATTCAACAAAGTAGAGAAACTATGGCTATATTGTTCAGAGTTTCAGGCAACACACACCTATACTTTGACCTAAACAATACATGTGAAATTCAAGTTCTGCAGTGCAACAAATGGAAAAGTTCTGAAGGTCTCTATTATGTGGACATGTGTTTTTTCCAACGTGATATATACATACTCAGAGGTGAGGTGCAAAGGCATTTTATGTAACCACACAGACTTCAGTTTGTGCTCAATTACTGTAAACGTCCCTCTCTATTACCAACCTTTTACCCTTCAAAGTGTAAAGGAAGTAGAAGCTTTTGTTTCTTTGAGGCTAATATTGTGGTTATACGGCAGCCCTATACGCAGAAGCCTTTTAGCGTTTCATCACTCCCAACTGGCTGTTTTTCATTGCCTGTGGTTTATTGTCTAAGGTCTTCAGGAAGATTAATCATCTGATGGCTCATGATTACAGTACAGGATCTGGAAAGCTCGAACCAAATTCTTTCATCGTCACATATGAGCACTGGAAAAGAAAAAGAATCTGAAATGCTCTTCACCAACCATAAAGTTTGAAAAATGTTTCTGATTACCACTTCTGATATCATGTCATCTGTTGACTATAGCTTTAATCTATCAAGCTCTTTTTTGGTTTGTAAGGGTACACGAAAACAGCTAACCCAACTAACAAAGGATATGGAAATTATATTCTCTGTAAAACATTCACAAGTCCTTATTAATTAGAAAGGCAACACAAGTAGTCCTTGACTTACAACCACAACTGACGCCAAAATGTCTATTGTTAAGCACGGAAGCACACCCAATGTTATGACCTTTTTTGGCATCGTTATTTAGTGAATCACTATAGTTGTTAAATGAATTTGGCTTCCCTCATTGATTTTGCTTGTCAGAAACTCCCTAAGAAGGTTGCAAATGACAAACCCAGAACCCTGGGACATTGAAACCATTGGCCATTAAACGAATGGTTGTAAGTCAAGAACTACCTGTAGTCATCCATACTAAGGATAAGATCTTCTGATTTGTGTTCTGAAATGTATTGTAAGGATGTATTGCTGCTTGTGGCTTTATTCTACAGATTCTCTTACAATATTTTTTTATTGGTTGTTTGATGTTTGAAGAAGCTCTTTCTTCTTTCCTCTTTAGCTTGCAGATTTGATCCTCCTGCTCTATCTTGAACATGCTGGCTTGTGCAAAGCTACATTGGTAGAAGGAATTGTGAATTTGTTCCTAATAACATGACCTTTTCAGTGCTTTGCAAAGCCCTAAAAAGTATTAGACCAAAACATTGCCAAAAAAAATAATTGTAATTACAATTTTTGGAGACAACAAACACGCACACACCAGGAAAATAAATGAATATACATTTTTCCATAGAATATATAACTCCATTGTTACGTACTTTGTTTCTGTTTTTCATTCTAAAAATAATTAAAAAGTTGTCTTTCCGGTGTATGGCTGCTCTATATTATCATAAAGTGTATTTTTTAAAAAATTCTGCACAGCATAGGAGAAAACTACTGTCGGTTTATACATGGAAATCTCTTAATAGGATATGTAGGCATCAGGAATGACCATTTTATTGCACTTCATTAATTTTGAAGGAAGGAACGATTAATGCAAGTGACTTTTGGAAAATTGGTTCTTATCAGATTATTTACACTGTATAGTGTTGCTCCTTGTTATTCTTGGACTGCAGCCCACCCTTACCAGATTTCCATGGAATTTACTTAAAATCCTCACTGCCTACTTCTAAATTAGGGCTAGCAAGATTTTAATCTTACAAAGTTTATCTGTTTTCTACCAAAATCATCCCAGCCACCCATCGGAGCTCAGGTGTGAAATAGCAATGCGAGAAGACTTACATTCAGAAATAAGCTACAAAATTGCACAAATATGTATTCAGCTATGATCCAGACCAAAAACAAATCCAAGCATTATATACATACATACATACATACGTACATGTATGTATATGTATATGTGTGTATATATACGTATAATCGCTTAAACATTTTAAAGCAAAAACATTTTATAGTCACAGTACCTATTAAATTAACATTTTCTAGGATTCCCTCAAAGTTTAAATCAAATCTGTAAGGTTCTTGCTATGTGTTTTGTAATATTTAGCTATAATATTTAAATGTCTTTAATAAACTTGTTGTTTATTCTGAATTTACTCTCTTTTTTAATTGGCAATTTTGGTAATTGCTTCTCCAGTTATAATTTCCTGCATGTTTTGCCCCAAATTTGTATTTTCCTAATTTTGTCACTTTATTCTTAGGCTTTCACAGAAATAACGGAATGAAAATATATTTTTTTTTGAAAAGGATTGAATGGAAAACATTTTCTCTTTCATTTCTTATAGAAGAATAAGAAGACATGAAATGGATTCAGAAACTGATTCTCCCATTTTTACCAATAAATATCTGCAGAGATCCTTGCTAATGCCTACAAGAAATGTTTACAATAAATCGAGACAGTTACTGTACGCTCTAATATCCTCGACAATGTAGATTTGAAGGACAACACATGAATTTTTTATCAGCAACTGGAAGTAAATGAATGATAAAATACTAATAAATAAATTAATAATAGCATATCAGCAATAACATTTCATACTTTCTCATACATTGTTTCTGATTTTAGCTTTTCATCTATAAATAGGGCATATGAAGAATATTAAGTTTATTATATTTAATGCATTGTTGCATATTATTCTGATCAATTTGTTTGATCCTTTTTTGATTTTGTGAAACTGTTCTAAGTTTGTCAATATTAATAAGAAGTCACTGAATTTTTTTGTTGTTCTGCTTTGATTACATATCTTCATACAAGTGGATAAGTCTCAGTGATGTGAACTTTGCTTCTTACATTTGGACATATTATGGCAAGTTTAGCATCTTAATATGGACATAATGGCAAGGATTGGAGAATAATGGCAGTCATTCCTTATATTCCCTGTTTTTTAAATGTAAATTTAAGATATTGTAAGCAGTTTCGTTTACATACTGTTTTTAATCTGATCTATCTTGAACATGTAGAAAACATATTGAACATAAATGGCAGTTTTCTGCGCATCTATCTGGACATGAGAAAGGTTGACATCCTTTTATTCTGATAACGTAAAAAAAAGAAAACCAATATATATGCAAAGTTTTTTCCCGGGGCAGATTTCTTGTATAGGCATTTCTCTTTGCCAGAATCAATCTCTATAAAATCTGTATCTTTTTCACAAGAATGCATAGATAAATCTACAGGTAATCCTCAATTGACGACCACAACTGAGCCTAAAATTTAGGTTGTTAAGTGATAAATTTATTAAGTGAGTTTTGCCCCATTTTATGACTTTTCTTGGCACATTTTTTAAGTGAATCACTGCAGTTGTTAAATTAGTAACACGGTTGTTAAGTGAAACTGGTTTCCCCCATTTGACTTTGCTTATCAGAAGGTTACAAAAGGGGATCACCTGTCTCCAGGACACTGCAATCGTCATAAATGTGAGTTGCTTGTGAAGCATCCCATGACTATAGAGATGCTACAATGGTCGTATGTATGAAAAATGGTCATTAGTCACTTTTTGCAGTGCCGTTATAACATCAAACAATCACTAAATGAACTGTTGTAAGTCAAGGACTACCTGTATTTGACTAAAGTTCTCTAACAAAGTTTAAAAAGCTGAAATATGAATTCCAATTGCTATGTGCAGTTTCCCACTTGTCCTAACAAACATGTGTCATATGTAATTTTTGACCATGAACTGCCTTGCAAAATTCTGAGACAAACATAATCTGAAGAATAGCTGCTCTGATCCGATATTAGCCTGAGATATATGCCATTAGGTTAATTGCTTAAACATATGGATTAGATGAAATTCTTTATCATGCGTAGTTAACTTCCTGTATCTGGTTTCAGGCTGCACACGTGTTTTGCTTCCTATGGCAATGTATAAAAATAGAGATGGTGAGTACTGATCATTGTGAAAGTTTCTTGCAGTTTTATTTAGTATTTTCAACAGTTCAGAATAGAAATATAAAATAATTTGGCTGGGAACTGCAAAAAGGTTTATGGAACGGGCATGATGGGCATGTTTATCTATGGTGGACATGCCAATCTGCAAAAAAAACTACTGGGCCAAAATCAGAAAATGGCTGAAAGAGATAATTGACCAACCCATAGACTGGAAACCGGAGACATTTTTGTTGGGGATATTTACTAGGAAATATATTAAAGAAATACAATATTTAATTTTACATATAATAATGGTAAGAATATCGTATGTACAGAACTGGAAAAATGATGAGATACCAACTGAGGAAGAACTGATAAGGAACATTCTGGACTGTGCCGAGATGGACAAACTAACGAAGGAGATAAAAGAAAAGGAAGATACAGAATATTATGCAGTATGGAACAAATGGTATAATTGGCTGGAGATTAGAAATAGCAAATAAGAATGAATGAGAAAAGATCACAAACGGATAATGTCTGTAATATTAATTTATAGTTATAATATTATATGAGAAGGAATATATATAGAAATAAGGGATAATGGGACAATAAGGATAAATATATTTAAAGAAGAGTAAGAGGAAAATGTAAATAATAGAAGACTACCGCTACGAAATTGTTGTAAAAAGGGAATATAAAATTTGTGTTTGTGTTAATAATAATAATAATAATAATAATTTGGCTGGAGGTGAGGTTAGAAATTATGTTTGCATTGCACATTGCAATGTATGAACTCTAGTGTAAGCCCACTCATATCCATCTCTCCTCAGATGAAACTTTGCAGATATAAATAAAGCTCTGAAAAGAAGCTATGAAGATTCTCAGTCATCCAGGTCATACTTGTATCAAAAGCAGTTTTTATTTTTGAAAAGGCAACTGGGCTGATTTTTTTAAGGAAGAAGAAGAAAAAGACATTTCGCTTCTTATCCTGGAAGCATTATCAGCTTCATCATGCCATCCAATGGAACTAATGAAGCTTCCAGGATAGAAAGCGAAATATCTTTTTCTTCATCTTCCTTAAGAAAAATAGGCCCAGTTGCCTTTTCAAAAATAAAAACCGCTTTTGATACTCTGAAAGGAAGGTACAGTATGCTATAACAGTAATAGTGCTCTTTAAAATAAGCTTTAAAAATAAAATAATAAAATAAAATAAAATAAGCACATTAGGGGAATGTGCATTTCAAAAAGTTTAAATTACATGGTAAAAAATTATGGGTCAATGAAAACAAAATAATCTGATTTTCCCCTGGTTGATTGATAGTAACATCTATATAAGGTAAGGAAAATTCATAGGAGACCCTTTACTATGGATTTCTTCCAGTCCATTAAAATAAAGTTCAATAAAATCTATTTAACCAAATTGAGAATGTCGTTTTTTGAGGGGAGAACCAAGTAATCAGCAGATGAAAAAAATTATTCTGTGAAATTATTCCTATCTCAGAACATGTGTGACAGAAGCCAAAAATAATATATTCCATTGTTTTCCTTAGCTTCTAAACCGCCTGAGATGTTCTCCAGGACTAGCAGTGCCTAGCCTTGAAGGTATTTTTTCTTCTTTTCTTATCCAAACACAGGATAGTCAATAAAGACTATTAGTGGGCTTCTTTCAACAATCAAGGTCTATAAATATCAAAGGAAAGATTGTCATCAAACCAGGGGTGAAATCCAGGGGTTCTGACAGGTTCTGGAGAACCGGTAGCGGAAATTTTGAGTAGTTCGGAGAACTGGTAGCGGAAATTTTGAGTAGTTCAGAAAACCAGCAAATACCATCTCTGGCTGGCCCCAGAGTGGGGTGGGAATGGAGGTTTTGCAATATCCTTCCCCTGCCACGCCCACCAAGCCACGCCCACCAAGCCACACCACGCCCACCAAGCCACGCCACCAAGCCACGCACACAGAACTGGTAGTAAAACATTTTGGATTTCACCACTGCATCAAACTTATTAAGAATTAACTATTTGCTTTCATTCAATTTTAATTACTGCCATAGTTGAACTTGCATTTGTGAAATAGTTTTATGGTTGTAAAAACAAAACAAAGCTAAATTAAAGATGAGCTTAGAGCTGGAGCCAAAGAACCTTGCCAGGCAGGAAGAGAGTGGTCTCCCTGGTAATATTTAGACTTACTTTCAGATCCAAGTGCTTTGAATTAAAGCTTTCCCAGCAGTTGAATTGCACTGTTAGCTCTTTAATGAATGGGGAATTACAGTTAAATCTAACCAATATAATAACTAGGAGAAGAGAATAACTAGATAATGGCTTGCTATTTTATAACCTATTAAGCTGTCTTAATTTTATATTCATCTTTTTAACATGTCTTATTTATATATAAAAAATTCTATTCACATGATAATACTGTGCATTTCAATGTAAAAGAAAAATGACCCCAAAGAAAAGAAAAGGAAAAGAAAAGATCAGCAATATGCAAAACTCTAAATGGTTATTATTGTTTTCTGCAAAAGGATTACATATTGGAATTAGTTATTAGACTGTTTAGGATCTGCTGTCTGAAAAGTTAATTATCTAAATTCAGGTGTTAGGTATTTGTTATAAGCAAGCAAGAAAGACTGATATTCTTACCATATTGATTCAAATGCAAATATGCAAATCTTTTGCGATTCTCCTATTAGTGTAAAATTGTAATTCTACAATGCCTAGAAAGCAGTGGTGGGTTCCTCCCGGTCCGGTCCGGTTCGGCCAAGCCGATGACGATATGACGTCACCGAACTGGTCTCCCCCCCCGCCCTCCCACCCCCCCACCCACCGACGTTATTCTTACCTTTTATTTGGTCCCACCTCCAATCTATTGCTGCCTCCTGAGTCCCAGCTGATGACTAGAGGGAAAAAAACTGTTTAAACTCTTGCCGCGGGGCTTCAAAGGGCCATCCTACAGCTGATCAGTGTTAAAAGCAAACAAATGAGTCAGGTCGTAAGTGCGAGGACTGGTCGTAAGTGCGAGGACCTTCCAGAAATGACTCTGACCAGCTAGCCACGCCCACCAGTCACATGACCTCCAAGCCACACCCACAAAATAAGCCACGCCCACAGAACCGGTAGTAAAAAAATTTAAAACCCGCCCCTGCTAGAAAGGCATCTCAAATGATATCAAGAGTTTTCATATTTATATGATTCCCTCTTGGAGAGGAATATTATGCTAGAATCCTGTTCCCCATGTCCTATAAATCCCTCTGATCATCCCCCCCCCAGGTGCTGAACATCATATTGGAAAGAGAGAAAGGTATGGAGAAAACTGACCAAAGGGGTATTCTGAGAGAGGAGTAGCTTGCAATTCATTTCCAAATCTAATAATTTGGAAATGAATCTAATATTTACCAGAGCTGGTATGCATTTATTCCTTTCGATTGGAAAGGATAATACTAGTATTTCTGGGTACAAAACACTGATGTGCTGGTTGGGAAATTCTGGGA